CTGATACTGAAGATCAGTCTGTCAAGGGAACAAAGAATCCAAGGTCACCAGAAGAGGGTTCACCAGAGGGGTTAAAGGTTGAAACAGATCCAATTGAAATGTCTGATACTATGACACAAAAAGAAGTTCCTAAAAAGGAAGCCAGGTATATAACATAAATTGTTAGGTGTGTGTGTTAATGCATTTTGAACTTTGAAGAACATGCATTGTCAATCAGATAAAATAAGATTGTATAGAAAATCTGCGTACTAAGAAATTCAATGACAGTAATTTTGCACATATTTTTAGCTCACCTGAGCCGAAGGCTCAAGTGAGCTTTTCTGATCAAAATTTGTCAGTTGTCTGTCATTGTTGTCGTCGTCGTTGTCGTCGTTGTCGTCGTAAACTTTTCACATTTTCATCTTCTTCTCAAGAACCACTGGGCCAATTTCAACCAAACTTGCTACAAAGTATCCTTGGGTAAAGGGGATTCAAGTTTGTTCAAATGAAGGGCCACGCCCTTTTCCAAGGGGAGATAATTATGAATTAGAGAAAAATTAATGGCATTTTAAAAAAATCTTCTTCTCAAGAACCACTGGGCCAGGAAAGATGAAACTCATAAGAAATCATCCTCAGGTAGTGTAGATTCAAGTTTGTTCAAATCATGACCCTCGGGGCTAGGGTGGAGCCAAAATGGCCGACCAAAGTTTTACATAGGAATATATAGGAAAAATCTTTAAAAATCTTCTTCTCAAGAACCACTGGGCCAGGAAAGATGAAACTCATGTGGAATCATCCTAAGGTAGTGTAGATTCAAGTTTGTTCAAATCATGACCCTCGGGGCTAGGGTGGGGCCAAAATGGCCGACCAAAGTTTTACATAGGAATATATAGGTAAAAATCTTTAAAAATCTTCTTCTCAAGAACCACTGGGCCAGGAAAGATGAAACTCATGTGGAATCATTCTCAGATAGTGTAGATTCAAATTTGTTCAAATCATGACCCCCGGGGCTAGGGTGGGGCCAAAATGGCCGACCAAAGTTTTACATAGGAATATATAGAAAAAATCTTTAAAAATCTTCTTCTCAAGAACCACTGGGCCAGGAGAGATGAAACTCATGTGGAATCATCCTAAGGTAGTGTAGATTCAAGTTTGTTCAAATCATGACCCTCGGGGCTAGGGTGGAGCCAAAATGGCCGACCAAAGTTTTACATAGGAATATATAGGAAAAATCTTTAAAAATCTTCTTCTCAAGAACCACTGGGCCAGGAAAGATGAAACTCATGTGGAATCATCCTAAGGTAGTGTAGATTCAAGTTTGTTCAAATCATGACCCTCGGGGCTAGGGTGGAGCCAAAATGGCCGACCAAAGTTTTACATAGGAATATATAGGAAAAAATCTTTAAAAATCTTCTTCTCAAGAACCACTGGGCCAGGAAAGATGAAACTCATGTGGAATCATTCTCAGATAGTGTAGATTCAAATTCGTTCAAATCATGACCCCTGGGGCTAGGGTGGGGCCAAAATGGCCGACCAAAGTTTTACTTAGGAATATATTGGAAAAATCTTTAAAAATCTTCTTCTCAAGAACCACTGGGCCAGGAAAGTTGAAACACATGTGGAATCATCCTCAGGTAGTGTAGATTCAAATTTGTTCAAATCATGACCCTTGGGGCTAGGATGGGGCCAAAATGGCCAACCAAAATTTTACATAGGGATATATAGGGAAACCTTTTAAAATCTTCTTTTCAAGTACTTCAAAGCCATGATTAGTGATATTTTTCTATTTAAATGGAATCATCCTCAGGTAGTTTAGATTCTAATTTTTTTCAAATCATGACCCCCCCCCCCCCCAGTAAACTTTCAGTTCTGATCTGATATGTGCTCTTTTTCTAGCCGATGTGCTCAGGTGAGCGCTGTGGCCCCTGGGCCTCTTGTTAGTTTACTAATAGATAGTATATTGTTTTGATTTACAAAAGCACAAAGAAAGCTACATCTCCTAAGAAGGGAATCAAAAAGCCAAAAAAATTCAAGCCACCAGCAAACTTTGGTTTTCAGGTAAGATTAAAACAGGTAAATATATCATGTATTTGTAAAGGATGATTTAGGTATTTGTTTTACAAAAACTTCATTTCTCAAGTACTGAGAACATTTATACCTTTAAAAAAATTTGAATAAAACTCATGTAACATTTCAGCATACATATTGAAAACATGAAAAATAAAAAAAATTCTGATAAGATTTTTTTTGATATTTGCTTGAAGGGAGGAGGTGACATAGAAATATTTGCCCCACCCCCGAAAAACGGTAATCCGAGTGAAGACGAGCAACAGGCAGAGCCTTCAGCCAATGAGCTTGACATACCTGGATCACATGACGTGGAAGCGACCAATCAGATGGCACAGAGTCTGGAAATGGTCCATGAGTTTGGTGCTGGAGAAATGCCTGAAGAAGATAATGAAGGCTTTGCTACAGCACAAGCAGGTATAAACCTCATACATGTATGTAAAACACGCTTATGAAAATTTAAAGTGTCCATGACAGACGATATTGCTTCATTATAAACATAATTTGTTTTATTACATTTTTACCCGTGAAATACTGTAATTTATTCATTGAATAAAAATGATATCCTGTCACACTGTGAAAGGATATCAAAATGATATCCTGTCACAGTGTGATGAATATCAGAAGTGCGGGAAAACTCTCGATTTCCCTTCCCATAACGAAGATTATTCTAAAAAAAATTTTCCTTGACCCAATGTAAGATAGATGAAAATAAATAAACCACTCTGACAGTGAATAAAACTGTTAAAATTACCAAAAATATGTTGCTAAATCCATGTTTACAGTGTTTTCACCTCACATAGCTATGACGTCTCAATTGCTCAACTATGACGTCACGAGCCTATGACTGTATAACAAAGAGACAGAGGCAATGGAAAAAAGAATTTTAATTTAAAAATGTAATAAACAGAAAATTCAATGTTTTGTAGTTGAATATGGAATTTATTTCACTTGTGCGACAGGATTTTTGATATTTTCACTCGTGCTCCGCACTCGTGAAAATATCAAAAATCCTGTCCCACTCGTGAAATAAATTCCATATTCAACTACAAAACATTGAATATCCTCTATATATATACAAGTTTACAATATATTGGGGGGGATGTCTGAATGACAATTACTTCACTGTAAGCATCAAGGGAAAGATCAGCTGCATCGCTTGGAATTTTTGATTTGTTTTGCATTTATTATTGATATCAATAAAGTCATTTATAGTATAGAATCTGAACTATGACTTTATGCAATGAGCATGATAAACAATAAAATTTAAAATGAAAATATTTGAAGAGATTTGGGGGTAAATTTATTTTTGATTATGAAGGTCATTTATAAGATATGAATGAACACAGATTTATAGGATTAATGACAATATCATCCCTGAGTCTTCTTTGTTGACAGGAATTGATGAACAGTCAGCCTGGGAGATGCTGGATAAATATGGAACAGAAGAAAAGGTCAGTTACTTAGAGGTCAGGGAATTAGGTCAAGGACATAGTACTTGAAAATTTTTATAAAATTAGCAAGACAAGGAGGGCTGAATGCTAGTAAAAGTTGTCAGCCCTGCTAAAAATCTACTAGCCTGAGAAAATAATTATCTTATATTAATTTGTTTTAATCATTATGTGAATGGAACTACGTCACCATAACTTTACTCCTGCACCTATTGTCTGATAAGCTCTCTCCTTTGAATTGTTAAACTGAGCTATCAATACTATTAGCTGATTTGAGAGAGTTTTTTTCTGATACACTGTACCAGGTATATGGATTTATATTATCAGAATGAATGACTGCACTTAAGCTATGAGAGTTGGATCCCGATGTTTTGCGCAAAATAAAATTCCAAAATTCATTAAAGTTATGTTTTATAGGTATTAAACAATATCTTTAGAGCAGGTTTTGGTATATTGTATTACTTGAAAGTAATTGATAATGCCGAGCGACACTAGCTTTTGAGACGGGGGTCCAACAGTTTTGTATCATTTCTATTGTTATTCATATGCATACCAGTTTTCAACGACTTTGTTTACATCGAGCCGCAACTTGGCCATTTTTCTTATTTGCACAGAATATGTATTTTAACTTAAACTTATACATATCCAAAGGACAATGTTGGCCAAGTTGCGGCTCATATCTAATTTAAAAAAAAAATGTCCCCAAACTAGGGTCGAGATAGCTACTAAATTGACCGGTCACTGAGCATCAACGATTGATATTATAATCACCTTACTCATGTGACATTCTGCTGTTCGTCAGCTAACGCTTTCATTGAAAATTTCATTGCGTTTAAGTCTCTGTTGTGACAGCTAGTATCTATCGTACTTCCAACTTCAAATTATGGGAGATTTTTGTGCAAATTTTGATAGGGTTTGAAGATAATATGTCTCTTATTTAACTTAATGCTTTTCATTAGGGGTGACCGTGTTTTGAAAGAATTCTGGTATTGACAGTGTCATTAGTAAGTACATGTTTAGGCTTATGTCGCCTCTGTATTATGTTCTGCAGAGCAAGACATTCTACCCCATCCCTTAGCATCGTTTAATAATTGTGCACCATAAAATCAACACGATCTCTCTCTCTCTCTCCCCCATTAGTGCGAAAAAATCATATGTGCTAATGTTTACATTCCACAACCATGGGGTTTAAATGTCTCCGCCTATTTGCGGATACCTTAGATTCGAAAGTGGTCCTGTTCAAATTTCCAGAATTTAAGGCTTTTACATGTTCTTTCCAATTACATTTTCTGTAATTATAGAAATATGTATGACAAAAACTTCTAGAAATAAATATCAAAAGCATATGCTTGCACATTAAACATAGCTTAATTTAGCGATATTTTGTAATGTTAAGCTTAAAATGGGTAGCCGAAAAGGTTCCAAATGACGTACTTAAGTGCACTCATTCTTTTAACACATCCAGTCGAGCATCAATACATGTAAATGTTCTCTTTGGGCAACATTTTTTATATTCAGCAATCATCCTGACATGGTTATTTCAAACACTGGTAGAAATTAAAAAATGAGAGTATTAAAGCAATGTTCTTGGTACATGTATCAGTGAATAAAATGATACGCTTACATACAAAGTAGTCCCTGCTGCATTCTTAACTCCACCAAGAAGTTTGTATTCATTTTGTTTTCTGTACAAAATTTGTAATAAACCCTGCAACTATACAAGATACAAGATTTTATTAATCCAATTTGGGCCCCCGGAGGAGCAAAAAGATTTACAAATAGAAGGAGGAGGATCCAAATGATAGAACAAGCATGATGATGATATTACAAATAAAGAGCAATTGTTAAAGAAAAAAAACAAAAAAAAGTATACAAGAGATATACTGAATATACATACATGTATCGTATTCTAAGTTACATACAAATATATATAATTTATACATATATATATATAGTTAAAGGCAAGAAACTGGGAAAGAGGTATATAATTTTTTTTTTATGCTTATCACAATATCTTCAATTAAGGTAAATTACTAAGGAATCCAGCAAGTGATCTAAGGATGTCTGGGTCTTCATTAGTCATGAGCCAATAAAATTGATTATCATAAGATAGAGACTGAAAATTTTTACATTTAATTTTACAAATATTTATGAGTTCAAGTCTTTGTACATTAAGATGAGGACATACAAGGAGAAAATGAATTTCATCCTGAATCTCGTTGTGATGACAAAGTGAACAAATTTGTTCCTCTCTAGGTATTTTTTGATAACGTCCAATTTCAATTTTAAGCCTGTGAGCCGATATTCTTAACTTTGTTAAAACTGATCTATGTTGATTGTTTGTAAGAATATCTAGATAAGGTTCAAAACAAAATTTAGTCTTTATGCTGGTAAAGGTAGACAATTTGCCATCTTTATGTAAATTCCTGTCTTTTTCCCATGTTAATTTATAGAAATTCAGTAATATTCTTTTCAAATTGATTTTAAATTGTGGGGTTGACATACCTAGGAAATCACTAATTTTGATATCAATATGGTTAAGTAAGAAGTTAACACAAGAATACCATGAAGTAAAACCATTTTGGTGTAGTGTTTTAGAGCAGTTAAAAGCCTCACTAAGCAAGGGAAATTCACCATCTAGATTCTCTAATCTATGCCAGTATAACAACATATTTTTAATGACATCAAAATGTAAATTCAAACGTCCTAGCTCAGATCTTACAGCAAAATTGTTGCTTTTACCATGAACCATTAGTAAATGTTTGTAAAATTTAAGATTTAGAATTTCTCCTTCTAAGCTTTGGTATATTTTGTCTAGTGTTATATTTGGATTTCTCTTAAATTTAGAGGTTGTTGGGTCAAAAAAAAACCATAACTCTGAACCATACAGGATAATGGGTTTAATAGTGTGGTCAAATACATTTAAAGCAGTTCTAATTGATGGATTAAATGTGAGAAAGTCTTTTTGAAGTTTGAAATAGGCTTTTTTGGCTTTGTTACAACAATCATTTTTAGCATTACTTAGTGTTCCAGATGCATTAACAGTCAGACCCAGATATTTGTATTGTTTCACACATTCAATATTGTTGTTGTCCAGATGGAAGGGAATTTTAACGTGTTTACCAGATGAATTGAAGACTATAATTTTTGTTTTCTTTGTATTAACTTTGAGACACCAGTCCTTACAGTATGTACTTAGTATATCGAGTTTTTCTTGTAGACCTTCAGCAGTTGGGGAGAGAAGTACCATGTCATCAGCATACATTAGGCAATGAATGGACATAGATGAATCATTGTTTAATTTTACAAAACTTTTAGAATTTGACAGATAATTTGATAGATCATTGAGATAAATCTTGAATAGGTTTGGGCTCATGTTATCACCTTGTCTAACCCCATTGTAAGTACGGAAGTGACCAATTAATTTGTTACCCAGTTTAATAGAAGAATAGCTTTTAGAATACATATCCTTAACAATTGAGTAAAATTTAGTGCTAATACCAGCTTTTAGTAGTTTAAGCTTCAGACCAGCATGGTTTATACTATCAAAGGCCTTATGAAAGTCAACAAAGCAAGCATATAGCTTCCCTTGTTTTGATTTGCAGTATTTTTCAACAAGTGTTTTCAAGACAAAAACATGATCTGAAGTTCTAGCTTGTTTTGTAAATCCTATTTGACAAGGATTGATTTTATCATTGCATTTTAAATATTTATCTAATCTTGAGTTAAGAATATAGTTAAACAGTTTGCCAATTGAGCTGGTTATTGTGATTCCTCTATAATTGTTGGGATCATTAGTGTTGTTAGATTTGTATACTGGAGTAATGTATCCTTCACACCATGAAGAAGGATAATATCCATGAGTTAAGCAACCATTAAAGATTTTCAGTAATATTGGTACCAAGACCGTTTGACCATGTTTAAGCATTTCATTGCATATTCTATCAGTACCAGCTGCCTTACCATTTTTTAGTTTACCTATTGCTTTACTTATTTCATTGAAAGATATTTTGTAGTCAAGTTCATTAAATATGGGTGTTGTTGTTTTCTCAGCTTGTTTTAGTTGGTCTTTAAGAAACTGATCTCGATCGAGGAAATCCTCATGAGTTTTATTCAATTTTTTGAAGTGGTTTAACCACTCGTTATTAGAGATTGATGTATCAATTGTCTTTGTATTTCCAGTTCTTAATTCGCCTATAAGTTTCCAATATTTTTTTGGATCAGTTGAAATTAAAGCATTTAGGTTGTTGATAATATTAGAATGGTATGTTCTAAATTTTTGTTTTCGTAGTTTGTTATATATTCTATATGCTTTGTAATATTGATTCTTAATATTGATATCTCTGGGGTAGTGGCCAAATAAAGTTCCCTTCCTAACTAGTTTTGAGCGCATATTTATCAACTCGTTATCAAACCATTTCTTTTTATGTTTAGCAGAGCTTTTATTACTTTTACATGTTTTATTTTTAGGTAAGTTTGGTTTTAATGACATAATGGCTGCAGCTTCCAGGGAATCTTTTAATCTATTTATTGTCGATTCTATAGATTCTATGTCATTGATGCTCATGGTGTTATCAAGATTGCATTATATTCTCCCTCACTTCGTTCGTCCGAATATAAATTAATTATACTCTTTATTCTGTATTGAAAGAATAATCAACTCATATGTATGGAATGCTGCTCGTCAGAACGTTTATTACAATTTTAACACATTTGTATTTATTTCAACACCCATTATTTTTAATCATTAAATAATATTGATATATACAGCTCAACAAACTTTTTAAGCTCGCATGGTTTTTCGCACAAATTAAGGTCACATTGTTGTAATAAACATTATTATTTTCGAACTGCAGTACAATGGCATAACCCTTCGTTATATTACATATACAATGTCAAGCGTAAATGTCTTTTAAAATTATAATCTTAAGTTTCCAAAGTGGATGACTTAAAGGAAAATTTATAAATAAATAGTAGGATGTTTCGACTATACGATTCTACAG